GGGGTTTTCCCCTCAATCGTAGATGAAGGCAGCCTATTAATGAGGTGGCTCGTATATGTAAGTGCCTCAGCCCAAAATATCTTCTCCAAACCACTCTGCGATAATAAACATCGAACCCTCTCCATCAAAGACCGATTCAGCTTCTCTGCCACCCGATTCTGCTGTGGTGTATGACTAATCGTGAAGTGCCTCTCTATGCCCTCGTCTCGACATAGCTGCAGAAAAGGGTCTGAAGTATATTCACCATCATTGTCGAATCGTAACGTCTTAATCTTTCTCCCAGTCTGCAGTTCCAATCTCTTCTTTCACTCCACGAATAAATCTAGAACTTAATTCTTATGCTTCATAGTGTACACCCAACAACGTCTAGAATAGTCATCAACAAACGTAACGAACCAATATCGACCACCAAGTGATGCAGTCTTAGTGGGCCAAACATCTACGTGCACGTAGTCCAAGATGCCCCTCGTCCTATGAATAGTAATCCCGAACTTCACCTTCGTTTGCTTGCCAAGAATACAGTGTTCACAAAAATCCACTTTTCTACTCTTGGCTCCTTTCAACAGTCCCTGCTTGCACAACGTCTGCAGTGACTTCTCACCTGTGTGCCCTAATCTGTAATACCAAAGCCTGCTCACATCCGCCTCTAAAATAGCTAAAGCTACCTGGCCAATCTCAGCGCTCCTTTTCAGATAATACAAGTTTCGACTACGGACTCCCTTCATCACCACCAAAGGTCCATTTGTAACTTTTGTTACAGCGTCTTCAAAGGTCACCTTGAATCCCTTTGCCTCCAAAGCTCCAACAGAAATAAGATTCTTCTTTAGTTGAGGAACAAATCTCACCTCCTTCAATTTACGAACTACTCCATCGTGCATCTAGATCTGCACAGTACCTATCCCACAAATGTCACAGGACTTATCATTTCTCATGACTACAACTCACCCATCGAGCTTCTCAAAAGATGCAAACCAATCTTGACTAGGGGTCACATGATAGGTAGCGCCAGAATCAAGTATCTAATCTGATGCATCCAAGTGGTTCATCTCCGGAGTAATCAATAGAGAAAATCTCGAATCATCGGAATCATCGCCTTTCGTAATATTTACCTCATTGGCCTTCGGGCCCTTTTTCTTGCTATTATCCTTCTCTTTGATCTTTGGACAATCTCTTTTCCAATATCCCTGCTCCTTGCAGAATGCATATTGGTTCTTTCCAAGCTGGTAACGACCTCTTGACTTTGACCTTCCTCTATTACCACATTTCAGATATGGACTTCTACCTCTCATCGACAAGGCCTCGCCTGAAGTACTAGCACGGGAAGTCTCCTTGTCCTTCCTCCTCAAATCATAATTCGTCAATGCATTAGTAACTTTACTATAGCTGATAGAAGATCTCTCATTCAACAAAGTGAGCACAAAAGTATCATACTCCTCATCCGGTAAGGAGCCCAATAAGATAATAGTGTTGTACTCATCCGATATCTTCTTATCAACATTTGCCAAGTCCGACAACAACTTCGTATAGTTGTTCACATGAGCCGCAAGCGAGGTGCCTCTGGACATATGAAATCTGAATAATCTTCGCAAAAAATACAATATGTTCTCAACACTTTTCGTAAGATACTTGTTGTTGAGAATTTCCCACATCTTCATCACAGACGTCACCCCAATCAAATCATACTTCAGCTCTTGTTCCAAACAGAACCCGATCACCCCACAAGCATTCCTATTCATCTTTTCCCATATCGCCTCTTCATATTTTGGTGGTCTCTCATGGACCATGATGGTCTTCTTCAAGTTCTGAGCATTGAGCGCATCTTATACATCACTCATCCACAAATCAAAGTTGATTTTACCGTCATATTTTATTATACTAATTTTGGTGTTCTGAAAACCAACTTGAATTATACTCGCCATCGACTTGCTGCTTTTACCTTCTTCTCCCATTGTAAACTAACTCCAAGTTGTAGAGAAAGAATCAAACTTTGATAAAAATTAAGAATTACCTAACCAAACCCTAGATCGGATTCCAAATAGATCTCCTGTCCACACGACGAAAGAAAAATCTTCAACGGCAACTCCTAATGTTATCTCCACCGAAGCCTAGAACTCTATGAACCAAGCTTCACACAAGAATCTTCCTTCACCTAATTCTAAAATCCTAGATCTGAAATCTGAGCTCTGATACTACTTGTTACGGGTAGCGAAAATTTTGATAGTATTTCGGCAACACAACAAGAGAGTCAGGTCACAATAGGAATTCTCGTTTCACAAAGGAAACAAGAACCATAAGTAAAATATCTCAACAAAGTGGGATATCGGCTCTTTCTCTCATCAGTTCTAGGACTGACTTGTCAAGGGAACCTAAATAAACTATTACAAATCACACAAATAGCGAGACAATCAATTTTACGTGGTTCGGCAAATTGTCTACGTCCACGGGGAGAGGATGTGGAGATTCCACTAAATCAAGGAGAGTACAAAGGGTTACAATCACACAAAACTCACAAACTAACCCTCAACTAAAGATCTCAACTTGCTCACAATATCTCCCTCTCATAATGCTCAAAAGTCTCTCTAATCTCTGATTACAACTTCATCTCTTTTGATGATTGATTCTAATCTCTATATATATAGAAAAACTAAAACCAAAACAGACTAGGAATCCTAAAACCAAAAACAAAACAAATTAGGAATCCTAATAACCTCATGTTACCAAAATAGATTAGAAATCCTAATAACCTCATGTTACCAAAATAGATTAGGAATCCTGCTATCCAACACTCTCAACAAACCAAACATGCATTAAAAGAGAGTTAATATCAATTCAAACAATTCAAACGGCTGTTTTAACATCCAGACGGTTGAAATTGTTCATCTAGACATCTTCCCAGAAATGCAGACATATCTGACAACAAAACATAGAATTTAAGTTTCAGTCGAACCAAAAATTGACGGCTAAAACTAAACCAGATGTCTGGTTAACTCCGATCAGACATGTAATGTTTACTGATCTGCACGATTTCATCTCGTTCATCATTTTTTCTTCGCTATTGCACCTTCAATCCTCTGTTAACTTCTTGGATGCGTTTAGGGGACCAAATTAACATGTTTTTAAATGTTTTCCAAGAGCAAATGCAAAGACTACACATAAATAGGGTTTCGTATCAGTTTTGGGCATGCTTTACAATCTATCATTGTGTAAGGATTAAAGTCTATTAGATCTGAGTAAAACTCATCTAGAACTAGAAATCTGGGGTTATTATTTTAGAATAAAAGAGCAAAAGATCAAAGAAAAATCTCATAATATTGAAAGAAAGTGGAGAATCATTCGCCTGAATTGTAGACCATTTTCTCTTCTTGATTCTCCTCCTTCTCTATACGTTCTCTATTGTAGAATTCCTATTCTATTGATTACATTTCATAAAAAAAAGAACCCTAAGGATATGAGTATTTATGGACATTGGACCTATTTATAAATATTATTTATTTTACTTTTATAACCCTTAGGTGTATATATGCAAATTCCCTTTACTTTAAGTCCAATTCATGATTAATTCTTGAACCTCATTCTAATAAAGTTATGCTTTATGGAAGTTTGTCATATTAAGTAGAAATAATGATTAACAATTTTTATTATACTTTATACCCTCATTTCCTATAATTGTATTTTCTTATTGAGTATTTTTAATATATTTTTACTAAATAAAAGGTTGGATAAATAGTGATGGCCTTCTCAAACCTACAGTTGACTATTGTAGAAATTACTGAAAACCTTAGAGAGTATAGAAATTGTAGAGTTTATCATCTTAAACTTCTTTAAAATTCAAGGTAAAATTTTTAGCAACAAGTTAGGAACTGAGGTAGAATGTGTGTTTTTTATTTTTAATCTTTTATTGTGCATCTTTATTCTGGGTTGCATCAAAATAATAAGAATAAGAATGAGAATAACAAAGAGTTTTGCTTTTCTCTTGCATGAAGAGCTTCTTTTTAAAATGTAGAAAAAAATTTGTCGGGGGAAAAAAATAAGAGAAAAAAATAAAAAAAGAGAAGAAAAAGAAATAAATAAAATTTTTGGTTACATCCTTCACCTATTCGAATAAAGATAATTATTGATTTTTACCATTTTGTCTTTTTTCAAGGTCATAAAAACAAATACATAATATAAGTGCTTCATTTAGTATTTGCTTTACTTTTTGCATTATATAGTTTGCATTGAGGATAATGAAAAATTTAGATATGGGGATGAGAACTAGTTATCTTTTCTTTTCTTATTTTCTTTTATAGTTTCCTTTATTCTTCTTTTCCTTCCATTAGAATTATTTGCCAACTTGATAAAGTTAATTAATGACTAATTAACTTAATTAAATTTTAAACTTACTAGCTTTTAGTTAGTTTTATATTTAAGTTAGCCTTTTTTGATAACTCTAAATACTTTTTTGAGAAATAATTTTTAAATTATTATACATATTATGTCTATAACTCAGAACCTTATTTGAAATAATAATTTTTTTGCATGCTCAATTTAGAGTGAATGTCATTTTCTCAAGACCTTTTTCATCTTAATAAATTATATATATATGGTCTTTTTTTAATATATACATATATCTCTTTATTTCTTTGTGCATGATTTTTTTCTACTTTATCAGGATTTTTAAGTGATAAAGTAATGAGATTTAGACCAATGGATCCCAACCTAACTGGGCTTAGGTCATTATGTATAAAAATACTCCTCGAGCTTAATTAGTTAGTCAACTTTGGCTTAGTAAGATAGAATTATCTTGGTGTTCAAGATTTTTATTGGTACCTATTTTTCGCACTCTTTTTATTATTTTCCTTTTGAGTTAGTATATATATATATGCAAATTGTCATGCCCCGGTTCCAAAATGTAATAGTTTGGAACATGACTCGGCTGTCAATGCAACCATACGGTCACATTCATGCCTCTAGATCATCCTGTATACAGACATATAGACAAAACTATACGAAAGAGCACGTAACCAAGATAATAAAAGGAATGTATAGATAAAGAAATATCAAAAATTTTCATAGTTCTATGACAAGTCCACGATTTATCTAAAGAGAAAGGAAAAATACACCATAGTCTGGAGAGTCACATGTGGCTAAAGAAAAGCCTAATCCAAATAATTACCTAAATCAACTGAACTAGATAACTGATAGAATGAATGGTGATCACTGCTGATGAGTCTGTCGCTCGAAATACTCTCGATCCTACGAAGAAAGAACGATTACCGAATCTGGGGCACGTAAACCCCAGGGGAGTCAGGAAACTCCCAACAAGCATGTAAAATGAGGAAATTGTGCGCTTGTAGGTGTATGTGACAGATATAAAATAAAAGATAAATTCTAAATTAACAGTGATAAAAGAAAATGCTAAACATAGAGATCAAGATAATGTCCATCACCAAACACGCAATCGTATTATTATTATTTAGACATTATTTGAATTAGAGAAGAATATTTTCTTATATATAAATCGGTTTTCCGTAAACCATCCTGGGAACACGGCTTCAAGTCAAGTATTGACCCTTGTATATATATATAACTCAGGATATTAGGAATGCGCATGTGCCCATTTATATACATGTTATCTTCTTCATCCAACTCCCATTTATAAACCCCGTGTTTCTGTTTAATCTAAGTGACTGTGCATAAAATATTATGCACTAACCACAGAGTTACCGTGGAACGACTTCCATAAAACTATGAAAGATAACCGTGACCCAGAACATGTCCAATCAAGAGGGGTGCATCCTCTAGTCGATACTATAGTAGTAATAGCCAAGGAAAAATCTGATATCAGGATATCAATATCGAGAACATAGCCATGCTTTGAAAGCACACTTATAAATCATATTTTTGACGGAAGTCGTCTTCGTGCATAGTCAAGCCTATTTGATGACATTACTGATCAACATGAACTACAACCACACAATCTATTACGAAGTATAACAAGGTACTCAAAATGAGCCAACAGGTTCACTAAAATAATATAAGTTTAAAAACAGGTAAATAAATTAATATTTTGAATGACAAAAATATAGAATTTGATAAATAATCACCCAACCCTAAACAAAAATTACTAATTCTAACCCTGCACCCAAAACCGGCATCATTCCCCTTTCTGTTGGCAAACATCACATTCTTAAAAAACATGAAACTCTAGTAAAAAGTCAAGGCCCACAAAGAGAAACTAAGGTCCAACAACTAAAAACTCAGGCTCACCAACTACAAATTTTGATGGCTATGGGATTTGACCTCCGAACCCAAGAGTTATTATCTAAGGCATCTGACCACAACACCAACTTTACTAATATGACACCAGTAATACAGTAAGGTACAAGTTTCTGTTCAAACCGAACCAAAAATACATTATATATGCAAAAAAGAGAGCTTTGGGATTCGAACTCCGAACCATTGCATCAAGGTCAAGTGCAACTAACCACTACACCCATCATTATTTCATGTTAAAGGGAATGAAGATAATAAATAAACTTAGGTTTTCAGTTAAGATCATAAATAAACACTTCCAAATAAGTAAAAGATAAATTTTTTATATCTTATATAAAACAAAATTTTTATCTTTTTATTTATATGAAATTATGTGAAATTAATTGTACTAATATTAATAAAAAATATTAAGATCATGGAGAGGAAAATATAATGAATAAATAAGATAGTAAAAAAATAGATCCTAGGATTATAAATCCTATTATTTATTTTCAGTATAGGATACAACAACATAACACATAAAAAAAACTTTAATAATAATAATTGAAGAAAGAATACTTGCATGAATCAAAATTATACTAGTAATAAGATTTGAGGAAAAGAAAACTTACCGATTTGTCGAAGAAAAGGCTATGAACCCCAAAAGAAAAATCAAATTTCGTTCATCTCCTCCTCTTGTTCTATGTTGTTTTTTTTTCTTTTTTTCATTTTTTCCCTACCATTTTTAGAATAGAGATGGAGAGAAAAGGGGATTGGTTTATATACGAAAAAATGGAGTGGAGAAACCCTAAAACTAAGGAAATTTAATTCAGTAGTAAAAGGATAATTGAAAAAAATAAATCTACAAAAAACTCACGGTTTTTATTTTTGGAAGTTAAAGCTACGGATGTTGGTTGACCAAAATTTTGGAAACGGATAAAAAAAATCTCACTCTCACTAATGCAAAATAAAACGCTACATGAGTGTTGCACACATAGTTGGGCCTACGAGCTCACTAATGAGCCTTAAGAGGTTTTGTTTGTTTTTGTTTTTCAACTCCCTATCCCGTGTGCTTCTTAAATAAAGCCTTGCATAAATAACAAAAATATTGATTGTTACACACACATATATATAACTTGAGAAATGTTTAGATTAAGAGGAATTGAGAAATTGTTATCCACACTAAGTTAAGCATGAAAACATTTGATTACTGTAAATAAAAGTCTAAGAGCTATAACTAGGTGTAACACTTTGAAAATTATTTCTTAAAAATTTGTAAGAGTTATCATAAAAGGCTAACTGGAGTATAAATCTAACTAAGAATTATAAAGTTTAAAAATAATTAGGGGGGGGGGGGGGTATTGGTTGGGATATTTTGGGGGATAATGGGATAATTTTGGGGATTCTATTTCATAGTGTTATTCATTGGGACAATGGAACAAGGATAATACATTTTTGTGTTATTAGTTTTTTGGAACTAGTGAGTAGGGGTGCATTCGGTCTGGATACGGCTTAGATATGATGCTTATCATATCCATATCCGCTTACCCATCTCGGATACGGATACAGATACGGATATACCTCGGTAAGAAAAATTTATAACCATATCCGCTAAAATCGGATACGGTTACGGATATACATGCGGATATATAAGCAGATATGCATGCAGATACAAAACAGATATGAGAAAACTAGATAGTATTGAGAAAAACATAGTTCATGTGATACAAAAGAGTTTGTTAATATGTCTATTATAATTGAAAAGTTAAGATTAGACATCTTGATCATCAAAATTAACCACAAATCCATAATTTAATAATTGAAACTATCATAAGAGTATGACTAATATGTATTCATATATTTCGGATACGGATACAGATATTTCACTACAAAACCATATCCGTAACCATATCCTATCGGTTATAGATTTGAGTAACCATATTCGTATCCTAACGGATACGGTTATGGATATTTTCTCGGATACGGATACGGTTTAGCACCCCTACTAGTGAGACAATTACACCACTTGGGATAAAATTACCCTACTCATATACAAAAATTTTATCCCAATAATAAAAATTTAGGACAAATTTTCAAAACCATCCCATTTTGAAATTTATTTATAAAAAACGACCTCTTTTAGCCTTAATTGTAAAAACCGACCCAGTTGGTTGAAACTGGGTCAGTTTTTGAAATTTTTTTTTCAAACTTCACGGGAGTTGAACTCTCGTGAAGTTTTTTTATGAGAAAAAACTTCACGGGAGTTGAACTCCCGTGAAGTTTGGAATTTTTTTTTCAAAAACCGACCCAGTTTCAACAAACTGGGTCGGTTTTTGCAATTAAAGCTAAAAGAGGTCGTTTTTTTATAAATAAATTTTAAAATGGGATGGTTTTGAAAATTTGTCCTAAAAATTTACCACATCCTCCATATTGGAACAATGTTGTTCCACTTAAGGCAATTGGGATAATTTTAAAATATTTTTGTATTACTTAACTAATACATGCTAATTATATTATAAATATATGACATGATATATAAAATATAACATATATTAATATTTTAATAACATAATTTAATAACATATATTAATAATATTATATAATAGTAACTATAGTATAACGTATTTATTATAATATTGTATATGTAATAACATATATTAACAATATTATATAATAACATATATTAATATTTTAATAACATATATATAATATTTTAATAACATATATTAATAGTATTATGTAATATATTATTATATAATATTAATTAGTAATTATGATATAACATTTTTATTATAATATTATATCATATTTTAATATATTATATTAATTATTATATAATGTAGCATACTAATATAATGTTAATTAGTAATTATTGTATAACATATTATATTTTTTATAAATAAAATAATGTATTATATTATTAAAATATTATATTAAATATATTGATATTATATTATATTAATTATTATATATAGTATAACATGCTAATATAATATAATATAATACAATATAATAATTAATAATAGTAATTTGTAAGTATAGTACAATATATTATATTTTAATATAAAGTAAAATAATATTTATATTATAATAATATACTAAATAATATACTAAACTAATTGGATAAGTTAATTTAGAAGTAATTAATAGATAAAATTATATTTTAATAAGGTGCCACATCATCAATTATCCCACATGAATTATCAAATCAATGGCTTAAATTATCCCATTATCCCACTTTACCCACTCAAAATATCCCAAAGGGGTAAAATTGTTCCATTGGACCAATTTTCCCACTTGGCTCCAATTTGCCCCAACCAATAACCCCCTCTAAGTACATCAATTAATAATTAACTCTATCAGATTGGTAAGTGACTATATTTTTTTAAGAAAAAGAAAAGATAATATGGAATAAAGGGGGAAATAGAAGAATAAGAAATGATAAAATAAAGAGAAAAAAATAACTTGTCCCCACGCCCACACCTAAATTTTGCGCTTTCAATGCAAACTACATAATGTACAGAGCTAAGAAAATAGAAAATAAAATACTTACATTTGTTCGGACAAAATTGAACAATAATAAATTAATAAAAATCCACAATTACATTTGTGATGGTTTTGAGCAGGATAAAGCCAAAATTTTTGTTTCTCTTTTTTCTCTTTCCTTCTTTTTTTTAAAGAACAAGAAACTCTCAAACGAGAAAAAAATAAATTCTTTTTATTATTCTTAATATTATGAGACAAAAACTAAAGATGTAGAGTAAAAGTTTTAAAATAAAAATCTCAAGTCACACATCAAATTATACCTTATTACTGAAAATTATACCTCAAATTTTAAAGAAATGTAAAATAACAGACTCTGTATATCCTAGAATTTTGTACTTTTCTGGGTTTTCAGTAATTTTTATAGCATTTTATGGTAGGTTGGTAAGGAGTAATTAGTCAAATTAAAATTAATGTGTATGTTGTTGACATGCATTTCCACCAATGGAGTGTTGGATTCAGAATTGTATCAAATATCATAATATTGTTCTAATTCATCGAAGAACTCAATAACAGTAATAAAATATCTCCTTTAAACTAGGGTCCATGACTAAGACATGATGACCTGATTGGTGTCCATCTTTCTTAGAAATTTGAGTTCTTCATTAAAAAGTCTGATTTCTTCATTAATGAACTCCTCAAAGCATAGTTCACTTCTAGGGGTTGATCTGATGAGTCAGTCGGCTGGTTTTCTAAATTAAAAATAAAGTCAATAGTTATGTTCCTAAAAAATAGCTTCATTTGACTAGTTTTTACAATTGATTAGAGTATTAAAGTTGCTAAGAATGGTCTTTCTAAATGTGACGCCTGTGGTTTCACACAAGGCTATAGTCTAAGGTGAACCCAATGATGTCAAACCTGCTATGCACCTACACAGTGCAACAACATGTTTCACCATCATAATAATATCTCTCTAATGACGATCAATAATAAACAAGTGTAGGTACAAAACATATAAGGTAAAGATGATAGTAATATAGATATGATAAAGGAAATGAGAGAATCCAATAATAATATAATCATGTTTCAACTGCATAAAATAAAGTTCAACTGATAATATAAAACAAAATATGAAATATCTCAATACATAGAGTCAAATAAAATAGTACTAAGGCACTCAACCTTTACAAAATGAAATACAACTCTAAATGACCGAAAATAAATCATAACTACTGTGGAGCTCTAAATAACTACTAAAAATAAATAGTGATGCGAGCTAATCCGAAACTCCATCAACCTGCGACTCTCCGTGCGTCTGACTCGCTACCTGAAAAGAGGGGAAACAACATGTGTCAAAACGTTAGCGAGATCATCTCCACCGCCCCCAGGGGGAGGGGTTAGGAGTATATAAGAAAATACAATTAGTACATACAAATATATATAAATCATCTATCCTAAACTAACTGGAAATTGATATTTAGAAATCCACAACACGAGAATGGGTACGTCGAGTGAAATAATCCTAATAAGGAAACCCTCATGTATATACCCCATATCTCAAATTGTGAATCGCTAAATACCAACTCAAAATCCTATGAATAAAACAACGAATAAAAGAAAATACAAATTCAAACCTCAACCAATACAAGTCATGTCAAATCCTTACACTACCCTCGGGTAGTGGCATAGCCACAAGAATAACATCCCGATCAAAGAGAACTCACATAGAATATGCCATGTATGATAACCTCTGTCCTATACCCTACTCTCGGGGTAAATATCATGGGAGCATGAATGTCGTCTGCGTAATACTCTATCAGAAATAACAATGCTTTTGTAAGGCGCTCACAATATCCTATGACGTCATCACCTTACTCAATCGTCCTATGAAATGTGGGCATATCAGCCCAATTCGGAATGAAGCATCATAGAGTGTAGTTTGTCACTATCTCATTGTAGCATACCAACTAACCCACTCTAACTGTAGTCTCCCACAGTCTCATTGTAGGATACCAACAAACCCACTCAAGCATTCACAATATGATAAAATGCAAAATGCGTTGGTTCTCTATCATGACAAATCAAAATATAGAATTATGTACCTCCAAACACGTGTGCGTGCTCAAATTCCAATATGTGTACCCTCGTATACGATGCACATATATCGATGTGTGACTCGTATTTCGTGTTCACGATCAAACGCGTATGAAGTATTAACATATGAAAAAAAACAACCTCTGTCGGACGACCAAAACACCCTCTCGGTCGATCGG